GCCTCCCGGCCCCGCGCTCGCTCAGCCTCCGCCCTCTGTGCCAGGACGGGGGCTCGCGGTGGCCCCGTCGCTCGGCCTGTGAACCGGCTGTGCTGTGCCCGCCGGCGCCGGCGGAGCCCACTCTGTTGTCACCCAGGCGGGGTGCTAAGGGAACAGTGAATTTCACCTTTACATAAGAAAAGCACATGCGGTTGACACTCTACCCACGTGGCTTCCCGTTAACACACGTGTCCTGTGATGCCCCCATCACTGTCTCACCGTCCGATTGGCCGTCCCCTCCGGGACGAAGCAGAGCACTTGTTGACACCGTCTGAGTTGGCCTCTCAGTCCCTGTGCTTGTCTTACCACAGCAGTTTCCTTTTCCGGCGTTGAAATGGGTCAGGGGCTTTTTCTGGGCAGAGGATCGGGGCATAATCAGCACCTGCCCTCCCACCCCCGTGTGCCCTGTGGTCTCCTGCGGAAGCCTAATTCCCTGCCATCTGCCTAATGCTGCCGCGCCCGGGCTGTTGTTGGGGCGCGGGCTGTACATTTCTGCTTTCAGTGTCTCCCTCCTGAAGGAGCCCTGCTTAATCCTTTGTCTGAGGCACTGTGCATTTAGCACTGAATGCTGTGTGCCCCCCTCTCCCTGCTACTCTCCCCCGGAAGTCAGAGCTAATGCCACAGTGCTGCTTGTCTTCTGATTAGCAGGATCTGATAAGGCTCTTGCTTTAAGAAACTGTTTATGTGCTTCCCTGAAAAGTGTTCATGTAGGCCTAGCACTTCAAGTTTAGTTTTCAGTCTTTTTTTTTTTTTCTTTTTGGTTTTTTTCCAGTACCAGGAATCGAACTCAGGACCTTGCGCTTGCCAGGCAGGCGCTGTGCCACTGAGCTAAATCCCCAGCCCCAAGTTTTCAGTCTTTTAAGAAAATAGGTAAACGTCTAGATTCTAAAAGAACGGTATAGTGTCCCTTCATCTACTATTAGTATTTTACTTTATTTCTACATTTGCTTTAGAGATTGATAATGGCTTAGCCCGTGAACCCGTAGCTGCTCCTTTGCCACGTGGGGCTGGGTTTGGGGCCCCTGCCTGGTTCAAGTTTTTAGCCCGGTCCTTCCAGACAGGCTGGTCCCCACAGGCGTTTGGGAAGAGAGGCGCCATCTATAACAGCAGGATCAAAGCGTGTGTTGGCTTTGACTCATGTGGTCATGGCGGCTGTGAGCTTCTGCCTCTGAAACAGAGAAGGTATTCAAGAAGCGTACCCTCTCCCAGCCCTAGCTTCCCTTTATGGGAGAAGTCTAGCTTATGGGCAGCCTGTTTTCCGGAGATGCTAAAGACCAGACATCTGTCCCTCATGACCAGCGTGTCATTAAACATGAGGCAGAGGAAGTGCATGGTCTAGCGGTGGCCTTATGATGGGAACTGGTGGGAACCGTGCTGTCAGCGCGGGAAGCAGGCAGGGGCCCTTCCCTGGGGCTGCAGCCTCAGGAGCCTGGATATGGTCATGGTGACAGCTGCTGTGTTCTTGGGGCGCTCGAAACAAACAGTATTTGAGCCTCAACTAGAGCAGTGAAGTAAGTGAGGAGGATAAGAAATTGGATGCCCGCAGGAGCATTGCCTGGTTTTTGCTCTTTTTTTTTTTCTTTTTGATGCGTAACTGAAAACGGCCGGGGTCTCTGTACCGTGCTGGCCGTGGGAGGAGAGTGGCAGAGGCTATGTGTGGCTGGGCAGAGGAGTTCTCCTGCCTCTCCTCCCACATTGGAGCCAGCCGGCTTCGTGTGCTGGTGACCCCAGTGGTCCTTCCTGTTCACGTGGGGCTCTGTGGCATTCGGGAGGCACCAAAGTCCTCTGCCCCCTTGCAGAGGCCAGGATGCGTACATCTGTGTGGCTCCGAGGAAAGTCAAGGAGAATCTGCGGTTTGGTTGTAGAACTGTGGCTTTGAGGTTGGCTTCAGGGCCCAAGGGCTTGTCTGGTCAACCCCTGGGGAACCCGAGTATGGT